AAAAAACCGTCATCTTTACTTCATAATAGACGACCCTTTTTTTAAAACAACCGTCATCTTTACTTCATAATAGACGACCCTTTTTTAAACAAACCACCATCTTTACATATAATAGACGACGACCCTTTTTTTAAAACAACCGTCATCTTTACTTCATAATAGACGACCCTTTTTTAAACAAACCATCATCTTTACATTTAATAGACGACCCTTTCTTAAAAAAAACCGTCATCTTTATTTCATAATAGACGACCCTTTTTTTAAAACAACTGTCATCTTTACTTCATAATAGATGACCCTTTTTTAAACAAACCATCATCTTTACATATAATAGACAACCTTTTTAAAAAAAAAACCGTCCTCTTTACTTCATAATAGACGACTCGTTTTTAAACAAACCATCATCTTTACATTTAATAGATGACCATTTTTTTTAAAAAAAACCGTCATCTTTACATATAATAGACGACAGTTTTTTCAAAACAACCATGTCTTTACCAAAAAAAGGACACTTGATTTTTAAAAGACGACGTTTGTCATACCTGCTGTCGTTGTTTTTTAGTCAGATTTTAACTCTGAAGAAAACCTTTTTAATAATATGACTCTTTTTTATTTGTGTGCGTCGTTATAAAAAAAATATTCAACAGTATCTCCGTTTTTTAGTTGTTTAAGTCACTTATCCACGACGGTTTTTTGTTACCGTCGTCTTTTAAAACACAACGACGGTTTTTTCTTCTACCGTCGTCTTTTTCTGGTCATCTTTTCACTTTTTGTAGTAGTGATGGTTTCCCGATCCTTCTTCTCAATGTCTTCTTTGCGTATATACTCCAATTCTCTTGCATATTCTTCATTCATTGTCTTCTCGTCCACATCTTTTTTCATGTCTAACTCAATTCTCATGTTGCCGTTCCTTGCAATTTGCTCCAAAAATTTTGCAGTATCATTGTTGGAAGTACTCCCCTCTTTACCTTCACCGCCATTCGACCAATAGGCCTCGATTCCTTTTGAATTGGTGAGTCTTGACTCATCTGGGAATCCAAAGGCGAATCCGATGCCGTTGAATCATGGAGTGGCATCTCGTTCAACACAACGGTCGGACCAGTGGGAATAATTCTGAATCGTGTACAATTTTTCACCACCTCCCAACATTATTTATGGTTGAAAGATTTTTTGCCTTGGCCAATGGCATCGAACCACATTTGTGCTTGTATAATTTATTTAAAAAAAATTGGAAATGCAAGAAACATGAAAATAAAAAAATAAAAAAATTAGGACATTGAATTTAATAAAACGGAAATTACAAATAATTTACCTGATTGCTAAGATTTTCGCCGCTTCGACGGTTGTCCCTTGCTTTTGCCAAAGCATCGCTCTATTTCCCCAACTCTTTATTCAAAATTTTCCACCTACTAGCCAATGCTATTTTCGTACAAGTCAAACCTAATCTTTCACAAAATTCGGCATGAGGTTGCAACTGCTCTTAGGAATAGTGGCTAGTTGCATCAGGTTTTTGTATATATAAATTTAAAGAAAATTAGGTATTAGACATAATTAACTTTACTAATCAGTATGTAAGACATTGGGTATTTTGGTTTGGGTTTTAATACCTAAGAAAGAATTGCTATTTTAGATTAGGCCAAAGAAGAGGCCTAGATTCGTTGGGCCAGCTTAAAAATAAAAACTGAAAAGACAATTCTACCCTTCTTCTTAAAAAGCCTGGCCCATCTTTAAACCTAACAAACTAAATGACTATTTTACCCATGACTGTTTAAACTACGCGCGATTTGGTCTTGGTTTCTATTTCGTTTTCCTTCGGCTTTGAGGTTTTGGAGCTCTAGTTCTCGTTCTGCCATTGGTGCTTCAATTTGCTGGTAGGTTTTCGTTCATTTTTCTTCTTTTTTCTGCTACGCTTTCGTTCGATTTGCATGCGAAATGAGGGTTAGTTTTGGGTGATTTCTGTTCTCCTTAGTCCGAGTATTTTGAGCTCAATTTTATTGCACGATTTTGTGGCGCGATCTTGTGGTGTTCAATGCTAAACCCTCTCTTCTTCGTTTTGTGATCAGATTTGATTTTGAGCTGCTATTTGGTCATGGGGATTTTTTGCAGTCCTATGTGTGAGGTATGAGTACTTTAAAACCTGTTTTTGTTTATATCGACTTATATGTTTTTAGAATTTTGTTTTAGTACTTTTGTCTTAGTTTTCTTTTGGTTTCTATGAGAAGTTTTTTTATTTTCTGTCATAAACGGCATATATTTGTTTCAGTTTTTTAGCAGAAACTGCATTGCAGTTTTTGGTTTCATAAACTGCATTGGAAGTGTTTGGCAATGTTACAACTGCGGATGGACTTGAATTTGTTTAGATTTTCTGTCATAAAATGCATCTGTTTGTTTGAGTTTTTAGCATAAACTGCAATGCAATTTCTGGTTTCATAAACTTCATTACAAGTGTATGGCAATGTTGCAACAGCTCATGGCTTTCTTTTGGTTTCTATTCAAATTTGAGGATATGTTTTCTCATAAAGTGCACTGCTATTTCCGTTTATTTTAGTTTTTGACTAGAAACTACTCATCTACATTATTTACTGATTTGAATTGTTTTCTGTTTTTTTGTTGTTGTTGTTGTTGTTGTTTTGGTTGCATTGTCAAGGCTAATGGAGGTTTCTATCCCAAGTGCACATATAATTCGGAAACCATTATGTTTTCAGTTTCATCAAAGTCATCCATGGTTGATGTTTCGAACACTTTGTGTCTAAGGTTTAGAGGTTTGCAGTTGGGCAGTTTCACATTACGGTATTCGCTACCCAGTTATCCGAGTTGTTTACTAGAAACAGATAGTGATTTGGACATGATGAAGACATATTTGTCGATATCAAATGCGAAGAGTGTGGATATTTTAGTGAAGGATTAATGTGGGAGCAGTGAATATAGTGGTGAATTTTGTGTAAATAAGGAGTTGATAGCATGTGAAAAGGGCGAGCCATCGTGTTCTAGTACTGTCAAAGACAGAAATGAATTTTTGGGCAGGTCAAAGAGAGCAAGTACGAAGCTTTTGTTGTTGAATGAGTGGGAGACGTATATACATCACGTAGGGCAGAAGTTTGATGGTGGTGCAGAGGAGTTACGGTTGAAATTGTGCAAGTACGCTCTTGAAGTAGGATTTAATTTTTTATGTGCCAGCAATGACAAGAAGAGGGTGATTGCTGTTTTTTCGAATAAGAAATTGGAGGGTTGTAGCTGGCATGTTTAAGCTTCTCATTGTGAAGCTACTGGCTGTTTTGTAATTCGGACGTTAAATAATGTGCATAAATGTGCGGGTCGGATACGGGAATCAAAGAGTAAGATGATGAGGTCTCGTGTGGTGTCCTCTCTCTTTGTGGACAAAATTTGTGCAAAACCAGAGCTGAAGCCAATTGAGATTATACATGAGTTCAAAGATTATTATGGTATAGACATTTCATACTACCATGCATGGTTTGGCAAAGAGTTAGCTAAATTGGACGTTCACGGTGATGAGTCGAAGTCCTTCAACAAGTTAGTGTGCTATGTAGATGTCGTAAAGGAAACTAACCCTAGTTCTCTATGTGTTCTTGAATGTGAAGCTGGAATTAACCGCTTTAGACGGTTTTTTGTGTCGTTTCGTGGTTGCATTGCTGGATTTCAATATTGCATACCCTTGTTGTTCATTGATGCTACGTTTTTGAAGAGCAAGTACAAGGGACAGCTTCTCTGTGCTTACGGAAAGAATGGGAATCAAGGTATGGTTATTGAAATGTATTGCAGATTTCATTTATTGTAGTTTCTTATTTCATAATTCAATTTTCTTAATAATTTTTGCAAGTTTGTGGGAATGTTGCAACTGCTCATGAACTTAAATGTGTTTTAAACTTAGTTTTAGTACTTTGATCATGGATTTGTCTTTTGGTTTCCTTTCAAATTTGAGCATATTTGATTTCATAAACTGCACTGCAGTTTCCGTTTGTTGGTTATACTTGTGCTTTTGGTTTTGTTTTGTAGGGTTTTATCCTCTAGCTTTTGTAGTTGTTGATTTTGAGACAGAGGAGAATTGGACTTGGTTTCTTCAACATTTGGCTGCTATATTGCTACCAATGGGGAGAGTGGTAACCTTTTTCTCGGACCGCAGTCAAGGTTAGTTAAATGCAATGGGGTTTGTGTTTCCTGGATGGCCTCATTCTTACTGTTACTATCACCTCAAACAAAATTAGATATCGAAGTACCCGAAGTCAGTTCATGGGAAACTGCTCAAAGACCGTGTTATCAATTTATTTAGTAGATGCGCATATGCTGTAACGGAGGAAGAGTTTATGGTAGCAATGGACGAGTTGGTGATTCTTGGGAGTTCAAAAGTGAAGACATTTATATCTTATTTGTCTAGAGATCACTATGCCAACACATTTTTCAAAGGAATGCGTTATGAGGTGATGTCAAACAACAGTTTAGCTAAGTCGTTTAATAATTAGGTTGGTGTGTTTTGAGATTTGCTGGTGCTACCTTTGATAGAAGGGATTCGACAAAAATTGATGGTATTGAATTCTCAACGATGAATTGAAGCCGAGAAGTGGACAACAATTTTGTGTCTAGAGATGGAAACTAGATTGTGGGAAAAGGTGGAGGTTAGTAGGACTTGGGCAACTCGTCGCTCTAGTTGTACTATTTTTGAAGTATTTGCTGATTATTCTGTGATGGTTTTCCTTGCATGCATGTGGTGGCTACAATTCTAGCAAAGAAATATTCAGTTTATGATTACGTGAAGTGTTACTACAGGTCTGACTTCTTTTGAAAAGCCTATGAGAGTCCTATTTTTCCTATTGCAAATATTGGGAAAGGCTTGGGCAGCAACGGTTCTACAACTAGAGTTGTGCTTCTGCCAATTACAAATAGGCTAGCCAGAAGACCACCAACAAAGAGGATAAAAGCTTTTGGTGAATTTACAAGGCCATTGAAATGCAGTCGGTGCAGTGTTACTGGGCACAACCGGAAGACTTGCAAGGTGGTGATATGAACATTCTTTCTCAGATGATTGCTTATGTTAGATATGATTTAGTGAATGTATATTCAGTTTCTGCATTGCAATTTTTGCAAACACTGCATTGCAATTTTTAGTTGCTTTTAATTGGCTACACAACTTCTAATTCGATATTATGATTATTTTTTGAAGTTAATGAAAATTATACAATTGTTTCATCAGTGGATATTCGTTTTTAACTGCCATTCAATGCTTGTTTTCAATTTTGAGCAAATTTTGTTTCATAAACTACACTGCAATTTCCGTTTGTTTGTTGCAGTTTTTGACCATAAACTGCAGTGAAGTTTCTTGTTCCATAATTCAATTTCAAAATAATTTTTGCTAGTCTATGGGAAAGTTATAACTGCTCATCTAATTTTTGCCTTTTGGTTTTCACTTCACATTTGAGCATATGTTTTTGCATACATTGCATTGCAGTTTATGTTTGTTGCAGTTTTTTACCACAAAATTTAGTGCAGTTTTTTGTCTCATAATTCAATTGTAGAATAATTTTTGCAAGTATATTGAAATGTTACAACTGCTAACCTACTTAAATGTGTTTTGAACAAAGTTTTAGTACTTTGATTATGACTTTGGCTTTTGGGTTCTTTTCACATTTTTTGAGCAGATTTTTTTTTACATAATTGCACAACAATTTTCATTTGTTGCAGTATTTGACCAAAAAATTCAGTGCAGTTTGTTGTTTCCTTTTCGTTTTGTTGCATCCTATTCCAAGATTATATTACAGTTTAGATGTATAAGAAATATGTTCTCATATACCATAACTAGAAATATTTACAAACATCCACAAGAATTAATATACATATTGTCTTGAGTTAACAAAAGGCAAATCACTAGAGACGATTAATTACAGTGTCTGTGGTGTAGGAGTTTTGTGATGTATTGAGCTCGATATTCATTCATGAAATTCTTGTCTACACTTTTTGGAATAGATTGTCCTTGTGCTATTTTATCCATCTAGAACATGACGAACATGCCACAATCCAACCTGCAAATGAATACTAGATTAGTTTTTGGTATTGAATGATTTCA